AATTTCAATTTTTCACAAACTTTTTCCTCTAAGTGGAAACACTTACAAGCATGATCCAATAAAAAAGTTTAGGGTCGGGATTTCGACGTCCAAAAGCTGGGTAGGGTCGGGAAACCGGAAACCCACATATTTTTTTTTTTGGCCTCAGGTTTATGAACAGTAAACATTAGACAAGAAAAAGCCTTCTTATTACTTTCATTTGTTGTTTTACTTGTCATTGTTTTTATTGCATTTATCGTGATATTATCGAATATCGCGATAATTTCCTCCACAATAATCGTGAGATGATTTTTTTAATATCGCCCAACCCTACCATGTTGACTAAAATTGCAAAATTTCAAGTTTACTTTTCACAAAAAAAACTATATCATCAGAAAGACCACAAAAAAGTATACATAAGACATTTAAGCGAGTAGTGCAAATTTTCAAGTCGGTTTTGAGTGAAAGAAGCTTAAAGTTGGCAAAATTCAAAAATTCAAAACTACCTATCAGGCTTGTAGATGATCTGGTCTCCTTTTCAAGTTTTGACTAAATAGTTGGACCTAGACGTCTTGTCCGTAGCATACAATTCAATCCTTGTGATGTCAAAGTCACTATTACTCAAAGAATAACGTTATTTCTGAAGACAAACAATTCGGAGAGGGTACTTGATGCCAGTTCATGCCTAACCTTAAACATCAGTGTAGCTATGCCCTATAAACACCTGCTTGGTAGTATTGCCAGTTTAGCACAATGGAGTAATTCCTGGTATGACCACCCCTTGTATTGGATCTGTATATAAATTTTCATCTATATAAAAGCCAAAATCAGAGTTCTTCAACATCTCTTCATTAATGCACATACTCTATGAAAATTTCAGTTGGCAGCTTGTAACAGAAAATGCCATCAAACAAATTTTATTGCACATTTTCAGGTTTTCGCAGCCGTTTATGACAATCCCATGAATTTTTTGAATCCGCCATTTTGTTCGATGTTTGTTCGCATTTTGTTTTGATGTTTGTTCGCATTTTGTTCGCATTATGTTCCCATTTTGTTTGATGTTTTGATGATCAAACTATCAAATGATCAAACTATGTTTTGATGATCAAACTATCAAAGCCGCTTTGCACTTTTTAGAACATTCGGGGCCATGCTACCCTGGTTGCCAGAGGTTCTGTACGTATCTTTCGTCTTATTCCCGCTCGTATTTATTTTAAATAAATACGAGCGGAAATAAGGCGAAAGATACAGAACCTCTGGCAACCAGGGTAGGGCCATGAAGGGTTGGCAAATTCCTTTTATTTCTTCTTTATAATAAAAGAAGATATTTTTTGGCCAAATTTCTTCTTTTTATTTTCATATTGAACAATTATCTGAACATATCGTTTCAATTTTTTTTGCTATTCTCGATTGACCAAATTTTATGGCGTTTATAGCAAACGGCAAACTCGTTGAACCGAAATGATATAAACACAGTTTTAGCATCGAGGATAGGACGGGGTTTATGATTGAGAAGAGTTCTGGGGCCCAAATGAAACCAGTTGTCCAAGTAGCAGTTGGAAATTTTATGTAAACGTTGTATTCGAGACGACGTGACTTTTTAAGTAAGCAACGAAATCTATGATATCGCAAATATAATATAGGTTTATAATATATGTAAAACACTCACCAAACACAGCTTTCCAAGAAGATCCAACACATTTATAATTTACTGCCACAGTTGGCACCAGAAGTCAGAACTTCGACGTCCTCCACATATACAATACTCGTGGCTGAAATAATTGGTGAAGTCATTGCAAGCACAGATTGTAGATTGCAAGTGACTGAAAACGTTTGCGCATGCGTCAACCCAACTTTTTCGTCCAGTTTCCGGATCAAGGCAGAGGGATCAAGGCATGATATTGCTTTACATGCATAATTTTAATAAGGAAATAGATAGGAAAAATCGAATTTTTGACACAAAAATGTATATTGTTAAGAAAAATATTTGGTCAATGTGCTATTTTACTTAAAATTTTACGTTGGTGGCTTATGTACACCTTTGATGGAGCCGAAAACGGAAAAAATATACCTGAGGAGTGTGGGAAAAACCTTGAAAAGTACTAGCACAGCTCAAAACCAGGGCCGTACGCAGGATTTTTTCACCAGGGGGGCAGTAAAACCTACGTGCTGAAAAAAGTCCCAAATATCCAAAGAATAATTTATGTCATTCTAAAAATCGGAAATATAGTTTTCTCTTGGTGGTGGTGGGGGGCAGTTACCCCCCTGCCTCCCGCTGTGTACGGCCGTGCTCAAAACTTGTTTTCACTTGCCATGCCAGGGATATTTCATTCAAATACAAGTCAGAGTTAATTTAAAAGTACTCAGAAAGGATTGTATAGAATAATACGAAAAACAAACAACGAAAAAATGAGATCTATATTTGTTTTCGGATTCGGCAAGTGTTTTTTCAAAGCGTGTGTATTATGGGCATGAACCCACCACTAACCTGCGAACGGGCATACTCTGTGAACGAGATTGAGGCGGTTAACAACTCCTCCCCAAACAATTGTCTGCTACGCAGGCTAGGGCAGAACTGATAAAGGGTGCCAAACTTGGCACGGACGCAACAAGGGACAGGTGACAATTAACTCTTCAATTGGTCATATGATTGTAGTACCATCTAACAAGCGTATGGCGTATAACTATAGCCTCAGCGAGTTAACGCTCTTTTGAGAGTCTTTGATTGACTATTGTTTGTAAATTGTGTTACTAGATTCGACAGGAGGTCCATTGCGGTGACCTGATCAGTTATGAAAATATCGATGCAATTGAGTTAGATTGCGAGTGCGAGAATTGCAATGACGTGATGGCGAGAGCTCTGATACTTGTACAAGAGCTTCCAGAGTCGTTTCGCAGCAACGCAGTCATGTACTGCCGGAGCAGGCACTTCAGCTTGAAATTCGTCGCTGGTGATGGGCAAAGAAACAAAGCGTTCGTCATGCTGTACGAACGTCAAGTTAAAGTCCGACTCCGTCCATGTTTTATGGAAGGAATTAAGGCTGCGGTTGCAAGAAATTGGTTCCCTCTTGTCGTGGTGATGGTGCCACTTGGTGTAGCGGGAGCTGTTTTATTTGCGAAGAAGCGTGAAATTGTGGTGCTGTCAAGTACTCGTGCTGCAAGGTATTGGTTGACGGGAGACAATAACGTATAGTAACACTTTGTGTGTTTAATTAATTGCATACCATAGTACTTTAGGCCCGTTTTATACGTTGAATTTTGGTTGCGTCGAATGCAATTAAGACAATACATAATGAGATGATAAACCTCATTAACTTTCATTATCTATTGTCTCAATTGCATAATTAATTCGACGTATAAAACGGGCCTTAAAGGCGGTTTTCCAGTCCTCGCACGAAGCTCCTCGCAGCTCGCTGCGAGTGATGCATGAGCACTTTCATCCAATCACAATGCAAAACAGTTAATTTTAATTAGATGCAAGCACTCGCAGCGAGCTGCGAGGAGCTTCGTGCGAGGACTGGAAATCCGCCTTAAAGGTCTGATTCCACGAGGCGCGGAATTTTTCGACCGAAACGAAATTTCTCTGTCTTTTTACAATTAGTTCTGCTCGAGAGCTCATGAAACAAAGAGAAATTTCGATTCGGTCGAAAAATTTCGCCTAGTCGCCTAGGCCTGATTCCACGAGGCGGAATTTTTTGACGGCCGAAACGAAATTTCTCTTTGTCTTTTTACAATTAGTTCTGCTCGTTTAGGCGGTTTTCCACTAGGCGAAATTTTTCGACCGAATCGAAATTTTCTTTTGTCTTACAAGCGCTCAGATGGAACTAAACAGAAATCTTTAGAATTTGACTAATAGAAATTTCGGTTCAATCAAAAAATTTCGGCT